ACTAGCTGGGGGGCAAATGGGGTGATGACAGGGTTGACAATTCTCAGTCCCAGTTCTGCAGTCAGACTGGTGCAGGCTGAGCCTGGTAGGTAAAATATAACTCCATGAAAGGGCCAGGGACTCTCTGGGTAGATGGGTGAGGCCAAGGCACCAGCGTGGTGAGCTGTGTGGGTCTAAGTGGGTTCAATGACAGAGGCTGCAGCAAAGAAGGGAAATTTCCAGTACAACCCTGTGTGTATGGAGTCATTTTTCTGCCAACTAGGAGCAACCGAAGAGCAGATGACTCATAAGTACACATCTCTCCTGGCTGCTTTGGGAGCTCTCCTCTATCTGGTCTAACTGCTACGTATGCTTATCCCTTGTTCTGACGAGGAAGTCACACATAAATATGTGGATCAAGGCCAGCAAGGCTACTGGTGAGACTGTAAATGCCATGATGGTGACGGAGTGACCTGTGTGCCAGAAGGCTGCATCTATAAAACGCACAGTGGTTGGTGTGCCCTTTGTGTGTGCTAGCGCTTGACCACCTTTGCATCCAGGAAAGCGGGCGTATTTTTTAGTAAAGCATAAATAATGGTGAGACCTACATAAATACCACCTTCTACCAGCAGATGTTGAACAGCACACTCAGTCCAGGAAACTGCCACTACAAAGGTTAAAGCACGGGGAGGATATGAGCGAGAAAGGGAAGAAGGGAAGAGGAAGCACTGCAGACCCTATTCACTGCAAACGAGCTGCTGAATACATGGGCCACTGGTTGCCCCTTTCTCAATGTGTCAGTGAGGAACGACAGCGAAACAACCTACCGGCAAGTGCGAAAGGGTCCCCGGGAGATGTGTCAAGAGTGCACTCCGGAGCCTGATCTTCCTGCTGTGTTTGGAGAGGATGCCACTGGGCTAAATGTTTACTAGACTGACTCAGATACTAATGGGAGTCAGGGGATAAGTGGGAGAAGAGGGAAACAAAGAAGTCAGCACTGCAGAGGAGAGCTGAACTTTCATAAGAGGGAAGTGAGGAAAGCTTGTTGATGAGCTGCTTTGCCAGGAAGTCCTGTGACTAACCTTCTTTAACACACCAATTTTATGGACCAAAATTTATGGCATGCAGGACCAAATGCACGACAAAGCTGTGAAAAGGTGGGCTCGCTCTTCCTTTGTAAGGTTATAGTGAACTCCCTGAAAGCTCCCCTGCTACGAGAGCAGCCCACCAGAGCAAGGCTTTGCCTTTGCAGCTGAGACTGCCGCACATGGTCCCGGGAGCTGATTTTGTAACCCCAGAGAGGAAACGAACGCAGGAGAGCTGTGTGTTCTTGCAGAAAGAACTGTTCTTTTTGCAAGTTAAAGAGAGAAAATCTGACATGCTGTAGTTGTGCGCTGTGCTGGTCTGATTGCTCCCATGCAGCACAACAGGGCATCTCTTCTCTCTCCATTCCTCCTCTCCCGCACCTGTCCTCTCCTCTTTATGCTCCAAGGAAAGCAAGACTATACCGTTCTACAATTTCAGTGGCAACTTACGGATCAGCTAACGAAACAGCAACTACTGAAAGAGTGGTCAGACATTGGAACAGGCTGTCCAGGGAGGTGGTTCAGTCACCATCCCTGGAGGTCTTAAAAAAACATGTAGATGTGGCACTTGGGCACAAGGTTTAGCAGGCATGGTGGTGTTGGGTGGATGGTTGGACTTGATGATCTTAGAGGTCTTTTCCAACCTATGATTCTATGATTCTATGATGACATGGGAAACATATAGGATTTCACAGGAGCCTTCTCTAGCAGAACTTTCCACTTTCTGTCCATACCACAATGTGGACAGAAGACCAGAGATGATCTGGGAGTTTGTGCAACCCAAACATGATGGACGCGAAGCACAGCGTCACCTTGAAAACCTGTGCTCACGGCAAGGCAAGGCAAGGAAGATGCTGACAGACTGAAAAAATCAGGGGAGGAGAAGAAGGAAGGCTCAAGGGCAACAGTGCCAATGCAGAAAGTTTATAACAAAATAATGCTTGACTTGGTTAAACATCAACTCATAGATAAGAGGAACAAACCAGCCTCCTGAAAGGGTTTGCACAAGCTGAAAGGATGAACAGTTCAGCCTAGGCCGTATAGGTATGTGTAACAAAACCAACCAAACAAATCATGAAGTGATTTTTCAGAATCAGGCTAAATGGCAGGAAAAATGTTGCAGTGGAAGGAGGTACTAGCCCGGGCCATGGTGCCCAGTGAGTGGAACGAAGTGCATGTGGCATCTCATCTCTGTCACCGCTGTCTGCCCAAGCTGCCTGCACCCGTGCCGCTGATCTGGGGAAAAGGGACTGGTGCAGGTGCTGCCAGGCAGGGTGAGCAGACACCCTCGAATGTTCTCTCTGTCCCACATCCTGCTGCCAAAGAGGGGAAACCCTACAAAGTGCTCTCCCTCCCCTGCCAGCTCCTGGGGGAAGGTGGGTCACCAATCTGCAAGTGTAAGGTCAGAAAGGACAAGTAACATACTCAGACTGGCCCAATATGGTGCCAGTCCATGGAGATTTATGCTTCAGCTGTTTCCCACAGCCTTTCTGCAGCCCATGGGCTGCTCGGAGGCAGCACCAAGCCCTGAGAAACAGGCCCAGCCATCTGATATTTTGTCTGATGCTCCCACGGATTAGGTAGGCCCCACCTGGGCCAGTTTATCATCCTAGATGTCTTCTCTGGCACGTCTCCCCATGCTGCGGTTTGGTGATTTATGGCTGCTCTGATGGATGCATTGCTGGCTGCTGGCTGGCTTGTCCCAGCCTAACGAGCAGATTTTGAACTGCCTGCTGTTGGCAAGACCATACTACCGCAGGGACAGAAAACCACTGTGGCTACATTTTGATCTGTAGTGCTTGTCTTTCACTGCTCCCTGATGTGGTGGGCAAACGGGGTGGAAACCTCATTTTCTCTGGTGTAGGGCTGTAGAGGGAGCAGGGACACTGCCAGGAGCAGTGGATCACCCCTGGCAGAGATGCACACCATGACACAGTGCTGCAGGATCTGTGGGTTTGCACTCACCAGAATGCTGGGATTCCTCATGCCAAGTCCCGGTGGCCCCTCTGGCCATATCCCTCCTGCTGCTGGTGCAGGCAGTGTCACCAGAAACTTGTCACATCCAGGCTAGACAGAAACGGCACTCCTGCAGCCTTGCCCACACGGTTGCATTCACCTCCTGGCTAATTATAGCTGGGGTAGATTGAAGCCTCTCCTAGTGCTTCTCCACCTGGTGCAGCATGTTTTGGTGGGCAGGTGAGGGCCTGGCAGTGTATGCTGTCCCCACCGCGGCTCTGCACAGCCCTGACCACCCAGCGCTGCCACGCTGCGGCAGGGACCGCGCTGAAGCTCACCCGCGGCTGCAGCATTTGCCCTGCATTTCCCCAGCGTCCTGCACGGTGGTTGCTGTAGGTTGCTTCTCTAGGTGCTCTGCTGTGCTCCAGAGGTGCCTGTACAGGTGGATCGCATTCAACCCACGTTGATTACCATGCTTTTGCTATCAGATGCCTGAATTTTGCAGCAATTTGTACCAGCTGGATATCGCTGCTGGTACTTTATCAGAATGAAACACCAAAGCTCACACACACACACGTATGCAAATATTTGTACACATGGCCTGCAGCCCCTGCCTTCCATCGCTGCAATAAACACCCTGATCATCCCACAGCACAGCTTCCTCAGGCTTTCGTTTTGTCCTAGATATTCCCCCAGCTTTCCTGGGGAGGGACCTGGCACAGAAAGATTCCCTGGGGACCAGCGTAGGTGACCCTTGGCCCCTGGTTTTTGAGACCTGCCTCCGCGGGTGGCTGGTGCAGACCTGGTGCACCTCTCCCTGCCGGGACCACGGTGATGCCCAGCAGGCCCTTGGCTCGGTGCACACCCCGGCATGTGCCAACGGGGAGGGCTACGGCTTCGTTCCCCGCAGGGCTCGCTGAAACTCCCTGGGCATTCAGGAGAGCAGGGCCCTTGCGAGGAGCTCTCTGCAACCTGCTCTTGTTTTCTGACTCCAGGAAGATGGCAGGGACTGGGGAGTAGTTTGCCCCAGTTGATGCCAGAGCAAGAGTTCAGCATCTCCCAGCTCTGTCCAAGTTTCTGCTGTGTCTCCAGCCTGGCAAAGGAAAACACAGCTCAGCAGTGTGCCCAGTCCAGCACTCTGCAGGGTGGAGGAGGACGAGGGTCAGTCAGACCTTATTGAGCCAGGTAAGGTGGAGATGGGAGCCTCCCCCTCTGGTCCAGCCACCAGCCAGGGGACCATTCCCACAGACATCTGCCCTTCTGATTACAAAAGCTACTCTGAGAAACAGTGCCGCATCCCTGCAAAAGTCACCATTCCCTGGAAAGCCACATCAGCCCTTTCCACCCAGAAGTCCCCACTTTCCTCTGCTTTGGGGGATAAGGGAAAAGAGGGAAGGTGAGCGGCAACCGATGTCCCTCCCCAGTGTTAACCCTCACCCGGGGTAGCCGGGAGAGGCAGCAAGCACCTGGTGGAGCAAGGCCTCTCCCCCAGTTATTTGGTAGATGTTTATCGCATCTCACCAACACCTGCACCAGCACCACCTTTGAAGCCGATTTGTTTAGGAAACAAAATGAGAGAAAATACCCAAGTCAGCCGAGGTGCCTGAGCACGACAAGGAAGCTGAGCAGTCGATTAGCTTCCCTGCTGCCTGAAGTGGATGGCAATTCGGGGAGGGGGGGGAGGAGGAGAGATAAGACAGCAGATTATCTGACTTTTGTTCATTTGCAAGCCAGGCCGGTTCAGCGGGATTTCTGGCTGCTGACATCAGAGTGCTCCTCAGCAGACAGCACCGAAAAGCCGAAGTATAAAATTTTCAGGAAATGCCAAAGGGATGGTCATTAGTAGCTTATTAATAAAATGGCACCCTCCCCTGTCATCTCAGGCTTTCGAACAGGGCCTGGGCACCGCGCTCTGCTCTCTGCCCCTGAGGCACTTCCCAAGTGGACTTTACCTTTAATGCTTCATGCTGTCCCAGCAGATCATCCTCGGATCCTTTCCGGTTTATTTGTCCCATTGCACCAATTTCTCTTGATCTGGCAGGAGCAGAAATCATATTTGTATTGTGTTGACAGATGTTCCTCCAGGAGCCAGCGCTGGATGTCCGCAATCCCATAGGAAGCCCGTGGTGCAGAGGTCACCTGCTCACCGTGAAGTGTAGCAGCAGAGGTGGCTCCATCAGGGCCATATGCTGCACGACCACAGCACCCATCCTCTGCTGCTGGGAGCCCTGGAGCAGGGTGTAGCACGTCGTCAAACGTCCCAGAGGGGCTGCTCACAGGCTGCTGGGTCCTGCTTGTTAGAAAACACAGGTTCTGTTAAGGCAAAGAAAAACAGACTTTGCTGAAGTATCAGAGACTGGCTGGGGCCCGGGAGTGGGGGGGTCGAAGGTGGCTGCGAGAGCCCTCTCTGCAAAAGGGAACTTGAGACCTGCTGCTGACAATGGGTAACTCTTGGGTAATGCAGCCAAGGGCAGCTTTCACCCACTGCACTCGCTTTTAAAAAAAAATTAAATTTCAGGAGATGGATCTGTAGGCGGCTCCTGGCAAGTGCACAGCATGAGGCCTCCCCATCCATCTGTCTGCTCCCTTCCCACCCCTGGGCTGCATTTTGCACCTTGACCAAAGACCCTTCTGGTCTCTCTGGGTGCTGCTCAGTGCCTGGGACAGGGCTGTGAGTGGCGAAGCGGGAAGAGCAGGGGCTGTAGACCAGGGACATTCCCAGGCAGAAGGTCCCCGTGCTCTGAGAAGTTCTTGGAGCTGTTAATCCCTCACAGCCAGACACCCCGCAGTTTATTCAAGCAGCTGGAGGGGTGCGCTCCCTCTGCCCCCCTGCCAAGCTGGGCGCCCAGCATCGGCCCCAGCGCCCGCCATGCTCTGGAATACGCATGTACGCCTCGGAGCACACCTGCATCCCCCCCAAGCGCTCCTGCGTGCCCATGAGCACACCTGCACGCCCAGCCCCGCTGGTGCGACCAGCCGCGAGGCTGCTGGGGGCCAGA